ACCTAGAATTGTTTGATAGTGATACGACTGAGCTATCAGGCAGCAGAGAGCTAAATCATTCTGGCTTAAGCACGGAGACACAAATTCAAAATTCTTCCACGCTTCTATGAATGCTAGACGCACTCACAATAAGATATCAAATCTCCAAGATAATGAAGGTAATGTTATCTCTACCCAAGAAGACATTGAATTGCATGCAAAAACTTACTTTACAAATCTCTTCTCTTACATGGATGTGGACTCTTCTGCGGTCTTGGACACAATCGAAGCTAGGATCTCCGACGAGGACAACAAAACTCTAACGAGCATCCTCACTATTGAAGAGATAAAGGATGCTCTTTTCCAAATGCATCGTGATAAATCCCCAGGCCCAGATGGCTTCAACTCGGCTTTTTTCAAGCATTTTTGGAGCAAGTGCAGCCAAGATATCCTCTTTTCGTGCAACCATTGGCTGGAGGTGGGGAAGCTCCCCGATCACATTAACGACACCACGATTATCCTCATCCCCAAAAAAGACAAGCCCGATTCAATACAACATTTCCGGCCGATTTCCCTATGCAATGTCATATATAAAGTTCTTTCTAAAACACTTGCAACAAGACTCAAGCAGATTCTTCACAAGTGTATTTCTATGGAGCAATCCGCTTTTGTTAACAATAGACACATAACAGACAACATGATCATCTCAAACGAGATCATGCATTTCCTTCACTGTCACAAAAGAGGTTTGAAGAAAGAAGTTGCACTTAAGTTGGACCTTAGCAAGGCGTTTGACCGTGTCTCCTGGAGCTACATCAACAACGTTATGGAAAGAATGGGTTTCAGTCCGAAATGGATAAATTGGATCATGCTCTGCATTACTTCTGTCAGCTCTAAAGTCATGGTTAATGGCAACTATACAGATGAGTTCTCACCTGAGCAGGGCCTCCGTCAAGGTGACCCCCTCTCCCCCTACCTTTTCATCATAGGCATGGAAGGCCTAACTAGTCTTATCAAAAAAAGCTGAAGAGGCCAATGACTTGGAAATTCCTTGAAATAGTAGAATTTCAAATTCTCCAAAAAATGTAAGAATTTCAAATTCCTCATATATTTTTTTTCTTATTTCACTTATATATTTTATCTTATCTCTTATCTCTTCATGTTTTTAATTATTTAATATTCATAAATATTTTTAAAATTATTAAATATTAT